TTTAGGGGCAGGAGGTCCCTAAAGTTTCCATATCTAGTTAACTATACATAAACGTCCAATGCTAATTGGAAGTCATGTTATTTCAATTCAAAACTTCCTCTGGAAGGAGTTAGATATATGACTGGCAAGTCTCTATTGCTAACAGGAAAAGTATGATGTACAGAGGCAAGACACTACTAATTTGAGGCGAAGAGCATATATTTTAAAATAAATAAAATTTAAAAATATGATTAAAAATTGTGACGATGTCATAATAAATAATTGCTCATTAAAAATGTTTTTCTACTTCAACTTAAAAAAGTAAAAAAATAATAAAAATAATTTACATAAATTTATTCAAGTAATTTATTATAAAATATATTTAGGAAATTAAATATTTTTCCTCTATATAAAGGATTCTTATATTGTTCCAATTTAAGAAAAATTACCATAAACAATTTAATTCCTTAAAATATTCTGTATTCATCTTCATAATATTTATCATTATCATCATTATGATAAATGTAAATATATAATATAAATAACATAAAATAAATATATAGTCTATGAATATTCTAATAAATATGCATAAATTAAATTATTAAATAAATATTATGGGGAATATATATATATATTATATTAATATTCATTATAAACAAATATTCGTGATGACGATAAATATTTAAATCTCACGCATAATTTTATTCACATTAAATAAATGACAATGCAGCGATTTTCAAAATTTTCAAAGTCGATTTTTTTTATTGTTTCAGAAGATGTTCGTTTAAAATGTATTATTTTTAATATAAGTCAACCCCCGTTTTAGCACTCCTGATATAGCTCCACCTTAGCATAACACTAGGAAATACAACGAAACAGATGTGGCGTTATATAGAAGGTTTTTAGTATTTTACAACATAAACATGAATTAGTTTATAAACATTATAAATTTCTATTGGAAGTTACACAGTATAAAGGTTTATTGTTTTAATATAAACTTATACCATAATATGTAATTTTGAAGCGTTCTAAACAGAATCAATCATAATCAGAATCAATACTTTAGCTATTTTAAATAAATCCTTCCTTAAAATCCTATCCTGATACTTCTAGCGATGTAAAAATTCCATTTTATTGCTTCTCTTGATGAGGCAGCTAACATATAATCCATTTTAATACTGTAGCAAACCATTTGCCAATATCATTTGATGCCATGGTAAGCAATTTTCCAGGACACACTCATTCATAGCAAACAATTTTCTAATCCCTGACGTGCTCTTTGGTTCATCCCTCGAGGCGTGTCCCCAAGATAAACCGAAATGATTAGTACAGCAATATCACTTTATCGCCTGGAGATATCTCCATGGTGATCTCTATGGTAATAAAATGATAAGCTTGAGTGCTACAATGTTTAAAAGCGGCTTCCGAATAAATAGTTTTACTTAAAGAATCGAAAATAATACTCTTGAACATAATTAAGATAGCATTTAATATTAATCTGTATAAATTCTGACAGCATGATTTAATTCTTAATGTTCAATGTATGAAAAATTTTTTATAAACATGTGTAATTATGATAAGATCTTTCATAAGATTTTTTCATACGCCATTAAAATGGAACGTTTATTTAACTAATTTAGAGATTTTAAATACAGTCGAAACCTTCGAACAACGGCCACTGACGTAAACATAAAAACTGGCCATGTTTGGGGTTATTTTCTATGCATTTTTGTAAAAAGTTCCAGAAAAATTGGCTTCTGTTTAGATATTTTCGTTATTACAGGTTCGACTCGGTTTCGTTTTCATAAAATATTATGAGAAAAATAGATTTATAAGTTTTAAAATGAGAAAATTTTAAGACCGTATGTTGAACTTCAGAAAGTGATCATACAAGCCTATACAAGCCCAATAAATTTTATTTTTCATTATTTCTTTGTTATCTTCATCATATTTTTAGGTTAGCCAAAACATTTTCCATTTATAACTGTTGATCTTTGTGCAATTTGCCATTATTGCAATTGAATCGTATAAATAATCTCATACTGTATACTAATCTCTTATGAATTAATTTGCGAACAGACAATTTACGATGTAGCAATGGGTATTTATATATGCATATTTATATAAGTACCCATATAATATAATATTTATAAGTTTTATTACGTATAATATATGTAAAACTAAACGATTTGTCGATTACGATCAATTTCATCCGGATCAAACTAGAATATAAGTTGAGATTATATATATTTTAATTTCTTTGCATATATGAAAATAAATTAATTTTTAAAAGGTTAAAATCAAATAATTTTATACTTTTTTTATAAAAATTAATAAGACGACTCTAAAAAAATCATCTTTCTTCGTTCCTCACTTTCTGACTCTTTCGAGCTTTAACCGATCGAAACTCAAATATATTCGATCGACAAGGCAATGGAACACTTGGGATCCATGGGAGGACTTTCTGTGACAAACTGGCCTCTATTCAGGTGTTAGACACGTGAAGAAAACCGGAAATTCCGCGTGATCAGTACGTCGTCAGGAGCGAATAGATAAAATCAGGGTTCAATGGTTCTATTTATTTGGCTTGTGGTGGGCCAAATATTTTCTAACAGAACATTTGAAAAATAAAAATGTTCAGAGTTTTGATACTTTTATTATTACATTTACGAAATTTTATGCAAAATCTTTTAAATTATCACGTCTTTACGTAAGCAAATAATTGGGAATTGCTTTTGAAAAATTGTATCTGCAAACACAATATTATACACTTATATAACTGTAAATATACATTTTATACGCTAAATTTATACTTGAATTTATCAATACTCGTAACAACATAGCTACGTAGGCTACTAACTATTTTTTTATTGACTCAGCTCGTAAAAAAATTTAATCGAAATTTTTACTATATTTGAAATATTGTATTCGTGCATTAAAAAATCAATTATATGAAAACATATTTTAAAAAATTATATTATAAAAGTTCCGCATTTTGCTCAATTAATTGTAAATACTTTTTTTAAAAAAGGCAATAAAAGAATCCATATTTAAGTTACTTTATTTACTTTAAAAAAACTCGCTGTTTTCATTTTTATTTAATAATAAATGATGAAAATAACGTTTTTAATTATATTTAATCGATGTTTTTACAAATGTCAAAATGATAAATTTAAAAAAAACCAAATAATTTAAGAAACAAACTAAATTTATAAATGATCTGTCTGAAAATTACGATCTTCATTAGATTTGTGGCCATACACTAAGGCATCTAAGAGGCCCTTTCTCCTTCACCAAATAATAATGAGCAATTTCAGAATAGAATGAGGCTCCTCGTAACTTTAGGCTCCAAGCTGTATTGTTTATCTTACAGGTAAATCCGGTTCCGAATTTTAAGTATTATGCAAAGAATTCTTTGTATAATACTTAATGTCGGTAATGAAAAAATCTGTTTATGTATTATTTATTAAAACATTTACTTAATATATTATTATATAAACAACACGGTACTTTATATTTTTGTAGTTCTATCTTTTTGGTGATTTGTCTTGACAATATTGATACTTTATATATAGTTAATTGTTAATTACAACTTACACTAGATGATTGATCTCATTAATTTAGCTGATAACGCAAGCATACGCCGTTTTTTGTGAAAGTTGAGACTGTTGTAGTCAATGTAATACGTTTCAGTATGATGTCACACGACTGATTCATATGCTAAAGCAATCTTCAAAAGTTGAATACGCTATCGACTAACAAGAGTGATTACGTCATAAAAGGCCATATAAGATTTGATTACGTCATAAAAATCTGCATCAGACTTGATTACGTCATTAAAAGCTGCGTAAGATTCGATTACGTCATTAAATACACCTTAAAATTATTACGTCACAAATAATATTTTATGAGGGTGTTTTAAGAATGAATTACGTCATAAAATATGATCAAATTTTAAGAAATGATTGCGAATGATACCCTTTTTTTTAATACTTTTATCGCTTCGGGGACACTAAAAGGCCTTTTAAAATCTATTATGAGGGCGACTGGACAATGAGAGACAGATCCTGATATATCCCAACAGACCACCTGGAAAAATTTCTAAGGTTGCTTGTCCGGATTCGATTCCGGATCCCTCCGGAGTAGTAGGCCGATGCTTTAACTGCCTCGGCCATTCTTTATGACGATTGTAGTGTCATTAAATAGTTCTGTAAGGAAATTTTACGTGATAAACCAAAGATAAGTGTAACTCATAGGAAACATTTTAAAAGTAAAGAAATTGGAATTTCGATACTCTATACAGAGAACTTCATCTTAATGTTTGACCAAACGTTTAAAATTATATTTTATTCTCATTTCCTAAAATGATTTTTATTCTATCCTTAAATTAATTTTTGTTTTAATTTGTTTAAACATTAGCGTTTTACGTTGTATAATGAAAAACGAACCACTTTATTCTAATTATAAAATTAAAATTATAGATATTACGTCAATGATTTTATATAAATAATGATTTATAACAACCTTTAACTGACATATATTCAAATTAAATATAATATTTTGTTCAATATTTTAAATATAATTAAATCTGAAAACAGTTTAACATAATGTATCTGAATTGTGTAGCGCAGTAGTAAATTACAATTTATTTATAAAATGGAGTTGTGCAGAGTCGATTTTTCGATTGTAATATGCTACATAATGATTTAACCTATTTTTTATTTTGGGTAATTTTTTTAAATTTTGTTTCAATTTCATTAATGTTGACGTCGTTTTTAGGCTTTTGGATATGGCCATTTCTTATATGGTTTTGTTGACACGAGGTACCGTACAAAATGTAGTACCGAGAGGATGTTATAAAGCGAAATTTTTTAGGATGAAAAGTGAGTTTAGCTACGCGATGCATTATTTACGTGTCTTGACAATACTTGACGGCGAGATGGATTATCGATCTGTTTAGAGAACAAACGCTCTGTCCTTGGAGTGTGACGTCAGAAAACAACACCACACGCAAATTTTCATTTAATTTTTTTTATTTAGTTTTTGTTGCGTGACGTTATCAGAAGAAGTTCAATCGTAGAAATGCACAAACAAAAACACTTTTAATTAGCTCCGAGTGGAGCAACGCTCGATATTCCTTCTCCGCTTTTTTTATTTTGGCGCTCTCTTCTTCTTTCATCTGGTGTTTTTTGAATCTATATTAGACTCGTGGATCGGAGGAAACAAAGGGATAATGTAAGTTCTCTCTACAATTGATAACTCTGTTTTTCCCATAATGATAGTAATTTTTCGTGGGGGAACGATTATGTGGTGAAGGGGTATATTTTATTTATCCGCCATTACAATGGGAACACAAAGAAAAGATCGAGGCGCAAGTTCTGCGCCTTCGTTCCAATTTAGCTGATGAAACCCCTATACTTGGTCACGTGACTGCGAGACATCACGCATGTCGATCGATGGAAAAGCATTCTTGCCATTTGAATGCATTAAGCGTTAAACTTTTCGAAAGGGGATTAGTGCGAATCTGCGGATTTAATCGGACGAGGCGCGAGTTACCCCCACTTTCTTCTCCTTATTAGATTTTGTGTAGATTAAATAAGACTTTTTAGTATCTGTTAACTCTCTAGATATCTGGTGATGTTGCCAGATATCTAAAGAATCACCAGATACAAAAATCTTATTACAAGGGAGAAGGAATAATAAGTGTGATGGAGATTGGGCAAAAGATGTCTGTATGAAACATTGTTTTAGATTGGAGAAACGCCGAGCGGAGAAGTACATTCGATCGAGACAGAAAGACGAGAGTGACCAGTTTATTTATTCAAACCACAACACGCTGCTCACTCGGTGATACATTGCAGTAAGTAGGCACCACCGGACCCACGCCCGACGTAGTGACTAGAGTGTAAAAATCGAAAGCGTGGCGCGAGCTGTTCAACTAAGTAGGGGGATGCCTGGCGCGAGTCGGTGGTGGCTAGACAATACTCGGTGCTTTTGGCGGAACAACCGAGGGAGAAGCGGAATAAGAAGCTAGCGTATGGCACACAATTATACTCTTGCATCGATCTGCCTTCCCCAGCCAATACAGAACAGTAGATCGATGCTAGAGAGCTGCGCCAGCCACTACGCGACTGGACGGATGAGCACAAAACTTGGACGGACGAGCCGGTGCAGAAGTAGACAGAATGGTTCTACTCAGAACGGAGTCAGCGGGCGAACCCGAAAGATGAAGAAATTTAAAACGACGTAAAGACTTAATTGATACAAAAATTCACACGAGAACACTCTGTACACTCTACACTAAAGTTTTGACTATTCGCTAGTAAAATCTGCAACCTGTAACCTTCTACTCTATTACGAGTATATCCTCGGCAATACTGAACACTATGTAGATATCTTTCAAAATAGACTTTCGTAGTTTTCTGAATAATCTCTTAAAAAGCGACTTTCAACGGATGGAAGCTTTAATCGGCGAGTCTGAGTGAGTGGTGGACGGCACGACGTCACCGCGCTTCCCATCGGATATATATATTTATATTTATATATTAGTTGGAGTGATGGCTAGCCTCCCGAGAGACGCCACCACCCCGACACTACAAAATTGTGACAGGTTAGATAATTTGCCAAAATGATTAAAATGCCCGGATGGCTCTCTTCGGCCAACGCGCGACTGTTAATTTTGTTTGTTTGGACGGATTTTCGCAAAAAACTGGACTCGACGGACGGATCGTCCCCATCCCGGGATACAAACAGTAGCGCAAAACTTCACCGTTACATCACAAAGGGGAGGAAGCCTGACTATGGGTGAACCAAACAACAGAAAGCCAGCCTCCAGAGTGTTTTAATTCTCTAGTAGGCATGTACTGTGTCCAAATCTCCGAAATCTTCCAATTCCAGAGCCGCGGCTTCTAAAGCAGCCTTGCAGTCGGCCCAAGGCTGATTGGGAGTCTCCTGCATGTTGGCCTGTTGTTCGAATGTGGAATAAGAGGGACTTTCTGGGTGTTGCAGAGCGTAAACGGTGGGATTGACGGTAGACTGAGTAGTTGGTAGGTTGAGCAATGAAGGGGGTAAACACAAGAGTTCATTTTGATGTTGTTGGAAGCACGCCCACCAATCAGAAGGTTGTGGCTGGGGTTCGGAGGGGCGTAAGTTACCGATGGCATCTCCACACGATGACGATAGATCAAGATCGCTAGCCAGTTCTGAATTGCTTCCTTCAGAACTGAAGAGATCGTCGTCTAGCACCAGTGGTGGAGGCGACAGGATTTGTTGAGCCACCGGCGGTTGAGGTACGCCTGTCGGGGGAGGTACGCCATTGGGCACAGTGCCTTCGTCGGGTCGATACTTCTCGAAATTTACTAAGTCCAAATCAGCTTCAGCCAGAATGGTATTCCAGCACAGGTCGTTGCGTAAGTTGTCTCCCAGGTCGCAAATCTCTTCTCCATTCTGTACGTTTACAATTGCAATGGGATGATCCGTCGTTCGGACCGTACCTGATGCTATCACTCTGGATTGAAATGAGTCCTGACACAGATTTTTCGGGACAGGATTCGGACAGGGATTTAATATGTGCTCCATTCCGTTTAGCTGGTATTCAGAATCACAGCCCGAGAAGCCCGAACCGGCGGAATTGGGAGGTGTATCTTGTATGATATCTCTTAACGCTTTGACCCCTCCGTTTTCTTTGACTACCTTATCTTTCCTGGATCGACGAGTCGTGGCCATTCCGCAATTTCTTTGAGATAACCGACGTTTTTTGAAAACGCCGTCTACCAGTGATTCGGCGTATGTAGGATCAAGTCTCCAAAATCCTCCTTTACCTGGCTCATCCTTGCTTCTAGGTATTTTGATGAAACATTTGTTGAGAGATAAATTGTGTCGGATTGAATTCTGTAAATAAAAATTAATTATTTAGGTTTAGAAAGCTCTAATTTTTATTGATAATAATTAAGGTTCATCTTTGATTACGATTAATTTTATCCTACGTTAAAATAATTTTCTTGATTTTATATTATCTTTAATAAATATATTTTTCCAAATCATCTACAGAAAATTTTCTCGATCTTAGAATTTTCGTATTTTTATTCCTTCGTTTTTTGTTTAAAGAATTACTCCCTGATGACTCAGCTTTAATTTTAATAATTTATGAACGTTTTAACTTTTTACAAGTAAAATAATTCTTGAAGATTATAATGTAATAATAATAATATTATTTTTTATCAATATTTCATGTTTAATTAACTGAATTCATTGTCTGTATATAACGACCTCTTCAGAGAGCTTACTTTTTATCGAATATTTGAGAGGAAATATAAGAAAAATTTCATATCGTCAGATTCATCGAAGAAGACAAAATAAAGAAAATTGTTACGACGTTATGTCATCCGTTTATTAAACAATTATTAACAAATAACTGTTTGAAAATGATTCTTTCATATTCATTTCTGCGGTTTGTGAAATGTGAATATCATAGATCTTGCATCATCTTATTTTAACAACTATCAATTTTTCTATATATACTTATGTAGGCCAAATGAAATATACAGGGTATCAAATAAGCCTGAAATCATAGATGTTAATCTTTGTTTATTCTTTTACAGGTAAAACAATTGCTCTGAGTAAGAAGGAACGAATAGAGGTTTTATTTTTTATAATGGAATCTTATAGTCAGCATAAAATCCATGAAGAATTTAATAGGCTGCATGCAGACGGCATGTGCAATGGAGGGAAGCCTGAATGCAGCCTATTAAATTCTTCGGCGATTTTATGCTAACTGCTAGATTCCATTATAAAAATAACTTGATTCGTTCCTTCTTACTCAGTGCCAAACTTTACATGTAAAAAAATAAACAAAAATTAATATTACTCTTACTATTTCATACTAATGGAACATCCTGTATATGCAATATTCATAATTTATTTATGTAATTATAATTTCATTTAAATATTCATATATTCTTATATATAAATACAAATCAATTCAATAAGTTTATATGCATGGAGATAAAAAGAAAGATGAATAGAAATTCTTATTGAACTAATTATATAAAAGTTATACACTTGTCGAAATTTTTTAAACGAAGATTTGCTAACGATATCTCTGGTAAATTTTTGATAAATTTTTTCTTTTATCATAACCAATATTATTTTATTTTCAGCAATTCATAGAAAAAAATAGGATATAATTCGTTAACTCTCTGAAGAATCATGAAAATGCGTACAATTCCGAATAATAAATTAACAAAATTTACCTGTCGTTCAGGCGAGAATTGATTACAGAATTTTCTCTATGCAATTAAAATTAAAAATCGCACGCAACAGCATTTTTCCATTTGGGTCCTAGTTAACTAAGCGAAGATGTGTCGTGAGGCCTAAATGAAGAGGATTCGTGATGAATGGTCCTCGTGGAGGACTTTACAATAATCACGCATATTTATTTATTCACGTCCATAAAGATGCCGCACTGCAGTCAGTTTGAACTCCCCAGAGAACGTGTCTCGACAGAACTAAAATTGTATGCGATCATAATACTAAAGTGAGAAATTGCATGCATAACTATGAGAATGTGTACAACTGAGCTGTCTGTCCGCATGTCAGAAATGCAAGCAAAGAAATGGCACCAAGGAAGGAATGCGTGTTAATGGAACTGGGAGACTACTTTTTACTTTGGATGTTGATACAGTCCATTAAAAATTCTGTCAAATATCTTATTAATGATTTATAGTGACTCACCGCGTGTGAGTCACTCGACATGCTGTCCTATCGAAACGTCACACGAAAAGGGAACATAATGCCCGGCTTCCTTGCGGGTAGAGCCAAAGAGTCATAAATTTGGTTAATAAAAATATCGCAACTGTCGGTTTCTGTTAAGTATAATCGTCCGATCGCATAAAAATGAAAAACAAAAATTACACAAAACCTACTAAATTACGTCAAGTTTCATATGCTAGAAGAGACTATTCTGCTAATATTTTACACTACTTACATGAAAGAAAATTTCACGATAAGCGGAAAAAAGCCGAGAATTAAGGTATGATACAACAGTTTCGTCAATTAATTTACTCGAGAAGGTAGAAAGAAGAGTGCGTGAGGAACGAACACATGAAAAGAGGCATTCATCACGTGGACACCGAACGCAACACGAAGAGAGAGACACGACACTAGATATCTGTCACGGGCTGATTAAAACTTAATCGCCATCTTGAATTAGATGATTAAGTTTTAATCAACCCCTTATTACCTTATTCTATCATTGTTTTAAATAATAGAATAAGATAAATTTATTAAACGAATANTTAAATTATTAAATAAATATTATGGGGAATATATATATATATTATATTAATATTCATTATAAACAAATATTCGTGATGACGATAAATATTTAAATCTCACGCATAATTTTATTCACATTAAATAAATGACAATGCAGCGATTTTCAAAATTTTCAATGTCGATTTTTTTTATTGTTTCAGAAGATGTTCGTTTAAAATGTATTATTTTTAATATAAGTCAACCCCCGTTTTAGCACTCCTGATATAGCTCCACCTTAGCATAACACTAGGAAATACAACGAAACAGATGTGGCGTTATATAGAAGGTTTTTAGTATTTTACAACATAAACATGAATTAGTTTATAAACATTATAAATTTCTATTGGAAGTTACACAGTATAAAGGTTTATTGTTTTAATATAAACTTATACCATAATATGTAATTTTGAAGCGTTCTAAACAGAATCAATCATAATCAGAATCAATACTTTAGCTATTTTAAATAAATCCTTCCTTAAAATCCTATCCTGATACTTCTAGCGATGTAAAAATTCCATTTTATTGCTTCTCTTGATGAGGCAGCTAACATATAATCCATTTTAATACTGTAGCAAACCATTTGCCAATATCATTTGATGCCATGGTAAGCAATTTTCCAGGACACACTCATTCATAGCAAACAATTTTCTAATCCCTGACGTGCTCTTTGGTTCATCCCTCGAGGCGTGTCCCCAAGATAAACCGAAATGATTAGTACAGCAATATCACTTTATCGCCTGGAGATATCTCCATGGTGATCTCTATGGTAATAAAATGATAAGCTTGAGTGCTACAATGTTTAAAAGCGGCTTCCGAATAAATAGTTTTACTTAAAGAATCGAAAATAATACTCTTGAACATAATTAAGATAGCATTTAATATTAATCTGTATAAATTCTGACAGCATGATTTAATTCTTAATGTTCAATGTATGAAAAATTTTTTATAAACATGTGTAATTATGATAAGATCTTTCATAAGATTTTTTCATACGCCATTAAAATGGAACGTTTATTTAACTAATTTAGAGATTTTAAATACAGTCGAAACCTTCGAACAACGGCCACTGACGTAAACATAAAAACTGGCCATGTTTGGGGTTATTTTCTATGCATTTTTGTAAAAAGTTCCAGAAAAATTGGCTTCTGTTTAGATATTTTCGTTATTACAGGTTCGACTCGGTTTCGTTTTCATAAAATATTATGAGAAAAATAGATTTATAAGTTTTAAAATGAGAAAATTTTAAGACCGTATGTTGAACTTCAGAAAGTGATCATACAAGCCTATACAAGCCCAATAAATTTTATTTTTCATTATTTCTTTGTTATCTTCATCATATTTTTAGGTTAGCCAAAACATTTTCCATTTATAACTGTTGATCTTTGTGCAATTTGCCATTATTGCAATTGAATCGTATAAATAATCTCATACTGTATACTAATCTCTTATGAATTAATTTGCGAACAGACAATTTACGATGTAGCAATGGGTATTTATATATGCATATTTATATAAGTACCCATATAATATAATATTTATAAGTTTTATTACGTATAATATATGTAAAACTAAACGATTTGTCGATTACGATCAATTTCATCCGGATCAAACTAGAATATAAGTTGAGCTTATATATATTTTAATTTCTTTGCATATATGAAAATAAATTAATTTTTAAAAGGTTAAAATCAAATAATTTTATACTTTTTTTATAAAAATTAATAAGACGACTCTAAAAAAATCATCTTTCTTCGTTCCTCACTTTCTGACTCTTTCGAGCTTTAACCGATCGAAACTCAAATATATTCGATCGACAAGGCAATGGAACACTTGGGATCCATGGGAGGACTTTCTGTGACAAACTGGCCTCTATTCAGGTGTTAGACACGTGAAGAAAACCGGAAATTCCGCGTGATCAGTACGTCGTCAGGAGCGAATAGATAAAATCAGGGTTCAATGGTTCTATTTATTTGGCTTGTGGTGGGCCAAATATTTTCTAACAGAACATTTGAAAAATAAAAATGTTCAGAGTTTTGATACTTTTATTATTACATTTACGAAATTTTATGCAAAATCTTTTAAATTATCACGTCTTTACGTAAGCAAATAATTGGGAATTGTTTTTGAAAAATTGTATCTGCAAACACAATATTATACACTTATATAACTGTAAATATACATTTTATACGCTAAATTTATACTTGAATTTATCAATACTCGTAACAACATAGCTACGTAGGCTACTAACTATTTTTTTATTGACTCAGCTCGTAAAAAAATTTAATCGAAATTTTTACTATATTTGAAATATTGTANGCAATATTCATAATTTATTTATGTAATTATAATTTCATTTAAATATTCATATATTCTTATATATAAATACAAATCAATTCAATAAGTTTATATGCATGGAGATAAAAAGAAAGATGAATAGAAATTCTTATTGAACTAATTATATAAAAGTTATACACTTGTCGAAATTTTTTAAACGAAGATTTGCTAACGATATCTCTGGTAAATTTTTGATAAATTTTTTCTTTTATCATAACCAATATTATTTTATTTTCAGCAAT